AACTCTGTAGTGCGTGTTGCAGCTTGTGCATAGCCAGAGTTATTAACTCACACTTGCAGACCAATAGATACAGGATGCCTTTGTAGAAAACAGAGTGAGGCAGTGCACAAACCCATAATACTATGGAATGTTAGAGATGAACTCTGTATTTGCTAAAATTTATTTGAAAAGATAATTTATTCAGCAGCATCTCCTCACCCAAGTACTTTTTTCATGTTTTTCCATTTTAATTTTTGATAAAATTAGATGAGAACTATATATTAGTATGATCAGCTCTTAATGTTTATTTCCATTGTGTTGTCCTAATTTTCTGTGGCACTGCATCATCATCACTACAATAATCATTCCTGATGTCACAAAGGATTATAAACTTCTAGTGGGAAATAAGTCATTTGAGCAGATGAATGCATAAGAAACAAAGATTCTGTTATTTTACAAATAACCAGAGGGTGGAGGGAAACCTAATATCAGATGTGAATATAGGCATAATTCATTATTTGTATTTTATACAAGGAATTCTGAGAATAAGAAAATGGTGGTGTTTAAAAGTGGAAGGTAGCATGAAAAATTATAGGTTCTTAAATTGTAAAAAAAAGTTGGTATTTTGAAAAGTTAATTAAGATTTACTATTGCACAGTATGGGCATCTTTCACATAACAAGGTTTCATTCTGGGGACCCCCTTTAACCTTATGAGTAGTCAAATTAAGTAAAATTGACTATTATTTAGAATGAGAAGGGGAAAGAACTGACTGTTGAGTTCTTACTACATACCAGTCACTGACTGTATTAGGGACTTCTGTATATTTTATCTTATTTAATTCCTGCCATATCCCAGGAGGTAAAGAAATTGTTATCCTCATTTTTATAACTGGTGAAATGGAAAGTTAGAGACTTTAGTTTATGAAATGTTCAAATTTACACAGATGGGAAATGATGACACTAAGATTTTTTAAATCCAGATCATATTTTCTCCCTCCCTCCCTCTCTCCCTTCCTTTTTTTGAAAGCAGGATTTATTGAAAGGACAGAAAAGTTCGCAAGGTGGGAGGGGACCCGAGGGGTTTTCCCCAGGTCATATTTTCAAAGCACTTCCTTCAACTCCAGGCTTGCCCCCTCCCCCCCAGTTTTTCTCTTCAGTCTTTCTCAAAGATTTGAGCCTTCTGACTTCTTTTTTTGCAAACCTGGTTATGGTAGAAATGATAAATTGGTTCCTATCTAGTTTCCATAGGCTTGATAGCCAGTGTCTACTAACTACTTGCCTTCTTTTCTTGTCTTTACTTTTCTTCTTTTCCTTTCCTTTCTTTTATTTCTAATACCTGTATATCTGTCCATTTATTTCTGCCTTTTCCTTCTTCCCTCTTCAACTTGTACTATTGCACTTTTGTTTTATTTTTTCATATTCATGCTTTGTGCTCAGTAGAATGTACAGAAAAGTGGATTGTCAGTCAAGATCTGTTCTTGTGTATTCTGGAATAGAATCATAATCCCTAAACCTTAAAATTGAATAATCTCAGGTGGTAGCGAAGGGTTGGAGCAACACAAGTCTCACACATTGCTGGAGGAAGTGTACACTGACTTTGGTTATTATCTAGAAGGTGGAAGACTTGCAGACTCTGTGATCCAGCATCATTGTATGTTGAAAGTAATAACCTAAACCTAGGAACAACCTCAGTAACAATCAGTAAAAGAATAGATAGATAATCATGGTGTGTTTATACAATGAATATTATATAGCAAGCAGACATTAAAAGGTGGATTTCACAAACATGTTGAGTATTAAGAGCTAAGCGTGAAATAATAAATATATGGTTTCATTTTTTATTTGATTCCATTCAAAGGATGAAAAAGCAATCAATGTAAAGCCATATTGTGGTAATGAAAACATAAAGAAAAGCAAGTAAATTATTTTAACTTATATTCTAGTAGTCTCTCTTTTTCTCTCACACACACATTTATCTTCAAGTTGAATGGTAATTTACTAAAATCTAGCTAAATGCCTCATTCATTCAAAAAATGTTGAACACAAAAAAAATGTTGATTGCGTACTGCATACTAGGCTTTTGCTGTCCACAAGGAAGGCCTATTTGGGGAGACAGGCAAGTAAATATGAAATTGGGATATACTGTAACATATGCCATAGTAGTTATATTCAGTGGTTATTATTGAGGTATTTTTCTCAACATTTTCCCCCCTCATTTGTGAAACGTAATAACCATGACACAAATTTTATTGTTTCTTGCATTCAGCTATAGAAGTATAATGGAAGTGCAGTATTTCTTTAGATTTAAAGCCCTGTTCTTGTGAAGAAAGATGATACTTGTGCTGTAAACTTACCTCATAATTGTAGAAAATTATATGTAAATCCTCTTTCTAGAGGTGACAGCATAGAAGGCTTCAAAAATTGATGTTACTTATGAGAAGAGTTAAAAGTGAACTTACATTCAGAATATAAAAATTTAGGAAAAGGATACTGGTGAAAAGTATTTCTAAGTATTTCTTACCTAGTAATGTAACCTAAAAGTGTATAGAGCTACCTTGACTATGGAAAACCGATTTATATGGACTTATGCAGTGACAGCTGTTCCATTATGTATTTAAATGACTTGTAATCCAAGTATTAACGGAAATAGAGAAAAAATATTTGTAAGATGCCCTCAGAGACTTATTTTATCACTGGTTTTGCTAAGGTGAAGAAACACAGCATTATCATTTTTTCCTTTGAATTCTTAAATTGTATTACATATTTTAATAAAATGATTTTACTTTATCTCCCTGGCTAATTTGACCAGAGAGAGAAACTGCAAACGTTCTTGTAGTGGTTCTTAGTGTTTTTTGAACCCAGATAACTATTATTGTAATATGTGCTTTGCTTTTCTTCTCAAATTTGTTAGTAACATAATTTCTAGTATAAATATTAAATTTATGCTCTGCAGCCAACTGTCTAACACATGAGTAAAAACCTGTGCTACAGGAAATTCTAATAAGGAAGGGAAGGAGAAAAAGGGAAAGGAAGGGAGGAAAAGCACTGTGGCTCTGAAACGCAAATAGGTAATTTGCTTTTTATGACAGTTATGATTTCTATTTATTACATTAAGTTTGTTGAACAAGTTTGTACTTAAATGTGTTGACTTTCTGACTGTTGGCCAGCTTTGTGTTGCCAGGAAGCCAACTTTCTTTAAAAATTCACTGCAGACAGGCTCTAGATAATTTCTAAGCCTTGGTTTCTTGGTACATGAAAAAGGCTTAGTTTAGCTGTTCTCGAAGTTTTCTTCTTCCAAGTCCTAAGCATGCATTATTTACATTTTGAAAGCCCTTATTTACTTAGTAGTTAGAATCAAATACACATGAGCTTTGCAACTTAGGGATGGGATATACTGTACGTTCAGATTATTGAAGACCTGAACATTTAGATTTGTAATCCTATGTTCATTTTTCTAAAACACTACCCACGTACAAAATTGACCAGTAATTTAGATAATTTACATTTATGTTATGAAAATAAAAATTTGGCAATTTGGCTTCTAAATGAGATTTGGCCATTGTTATTATGAATGTTCTCCATCCATGTAACAATACAGTAAAACTAAGTGGACATGGTATGAAACTAAATGGACAAAACAATTTTGTTTTATTTTAGTATGGAGTTCCTTACTAAATTATGAAGGTAGTATTTTTGAGGTTCTGCTTTGTAAGGTCTATGTCTGTGTATACCATAAGAAATGACATATTTTAAGTTGTATTGTCTCTCAAAAGTTACAGACATGACCTTAGTTTCAGTCCTTTTATTAGGAAAATGAAAATCTGTAATTTACTAGCTGACTTAATAGCTGCAATTCCTTTTGAGCCATTTTTTTGTTATAGCTGAACTAGTGGCAACCACTAGTCAGCTGACTTGAGCAGTTGAAATATGGCTAGTATGAATTGAGATGTCACTGCAACAGTAAAATATACTTGGACTTTAAATATTTATTATGAAGAAAATATAAAATATTTCATTAATTTGTATATTTGCACATTCAAATGATATTTTAAACATCTTGAATTGAATAAAATTTTACTAAAATTGATTTTCCACCTGTTTTTAATTTCTTTTTTTGCCTGTTTCTTTTTATTTTTTAAATGTGGGTGCTAATAAATTTTATTTACACATATGGCTCACATTTGTGGCTCTCATATTTCTATGGGACAGCACTGTTCTAGAAGCTGTAATGCTTTATATAAAGAAGTCCAATTTATAAAGACAAGTATTCATCTTCTTTCCATTCCAAAGGTCAGAAAGCATTCTAAAATGGTTCATATGTTTCAACAGTTAAATGACATCCGCAGTGTAGATGTTCACATAAGGGATTGTATGTTTGACTGTATGTATGTGTGACTGTCATTTGACCACTGGTTGTAATGTTGAAGTATATTGGTATGCTCTAGTATAGAAGGCATAAGGAAAAAAGAAACACAAATTAAGAATGAAAAAAGGGAATATATTTTTGGATTACAAAAAAATGCCATTAAAAAGACTCTAGTACCAATATTTAGGAATTACGTATTGTGATCTACAATTATAGTGTGTCCTACATGGTTTTCTTTGATAATAGCTGACTTTGAAAGCCCCTGATAGAAAGTGATAAACTTAGTGATTTCCAACCTGAGGAACAGAAAACTTATAACAATAGAATATAACTTAGTTTCTGTTGTTTTCTCTCACATAGAATCGTCATTTGTGAAAAAGGGGGTGAAAACTTCACATCATAAACTCCTAGGACACAGAGGTTTTTAAGCTCTTATCTTTTTTTGCTTAAAAAATGATTATCTCTTTTCCCCATTCCACTCCCATTTTCATGTTTATTTCTTTTGTTTTTCCAAAAAGACATATTTAATACCCTGCTTAGGTTTATTTTCTACTTATTCACTAAATAAGGAATGACACTGTTATGTTTTGTATTTGAAATTATAAGGTACATTTATTTTTTCTTTTATTTTTAATTTAACTCTTTGTTTTACAGATGAGGGCAGAAGTGCAGTTGACCAAGCAGGTGGTGCACAGATTGTAATTGACCATTTAAGGTCACTGTGCAGTATAACAGATCCCGCCAATGAGAAGCTCTTGACTGTCTTTTGTGGCATGCTGATGAACTATAGCAATGAGAATGGTAAACAAAACTGCAAACTTGCTTTATCTCTGGGGGAAAAATTAAAAATCATCTTTAATATAGCATAAAACAAAATATTTGAAAATGGTGAACAAAGAATTTATAAGTGGGATATAAAATTAATAATTAGCCAACATTAAATTTCAATGTTTCAGAAATACAAAATGGTTAATTTATTAAATGGGACTAATTTTTGAAGGGTTGCCAGTGTTAATCAGTACACACACACACACATTCTCTCTCTCTCTCTCTCTCTCTCTCTCTCTCTCTCGTCATATGGTTTAAACATTCTGCTATGAATATTTTAAGAAGAAACAATATTAATACCAGGAGTAGCTTTAAAGCATGAACACTCTATATACATAAAATCATTTTATCTAGATGCTAGGTTTACTTAGAAGAATAAAATAATTCTTTAATAAAATTAGACTTTAGAAACATAAAGCTTAGAGCAACTGTAGATAACATTTTAGAAATTTCATAAATTCTTATAAACACATTTTTTATCTGTAAAATATTTCTAGAACCTAGCAGAAAATGACAACATATTAACAATTTTCAGATATGATGGTTAATTAAATGAACATAAATCAGTGATACGAAGACTTCACAATACTTTTGTGTCACAAACCAATCATTTATTTCTTTATAATCTTATATGAATCACTGTGTGAACCAAACACTCAAATTTTGTTATGTTTCTTCTGTGTATCACAAATGTCTTTCTGTGGTTTGTTTCATAATGGCATTTTAAGTTGCAGTCTTTCGACAGAGACGTTTTATTTGCATATTGAACATGTAATATTACCCTTTAATGTGTTCTAGAAACATGACCCTTTCAGCATATTTTTCATTTTTTCTCTTTTGGTAGTTGTAGGTTCACAGAAATATTCTCAGTAATTCAAAAAACAACAGTTAAACCTTGACAATGAATGACTACTGACATTTGGTCCATGGTGTTAGTGACAACAGCTAACTGTGGCAAATTGAAGAGCCCTTGTCCCATTGGAAGGGGAGAGCCACTACTCTTTGCTAGCTGGTTTATGTATGATCATTTAGCCAAATACTGCCAAATTTTTTGATTTGGGAAAGAGAGGAAACTGAAAACCTAGCTCTTTATTATGTTATCTGATGTGTAAATGTTGGATTGTGTTTGCTTTTTTTTTTTTTAAACACAGGGTCTCCCTCTGTCACCCATGCTGGAATGCAGTGACCAATTACTCACTTCTATCTCCTGGGCCCAAATGATCAGCATATCTCAACCTCCTATAGTAGCAACGACTATAGGCACCTGCCACCATGCATAGCTAAATTTATTTTTTGTAGAGATGAGGTCTTACTATGTTGCCCAAGCTGGTCTCAAACTCCTGAGACCTCCTACCTCAGCCTCCCAAAGTGCTGGGATTACAGGTGTGAGCCACCGTCCCTGGCCACATTTGCTTTTATAACACTGTAGAAGCTAAACAGAAAGAGTCTGCAGGTTTCATACTGTGCAAAGTTTACTCATTTTAAACCTCTGAATTAAAATTATTCAAAACAGAAGGTGGTTTTTATTGATCTATTAAACTTTTTTAATTGATCTGTTGACTCATCTATTAAACTTGAGTTAATAATAAATCGTAGTCTTTGTAAGTTAAATTACTTCTTTCTTCCCCTCTGGTGGAATCATTTTTAAGAGAAATGTCCTAAATATAAATGGAAGAAACAAAGAATAGAGTCTGGGTAATCCACAAAATGAATGGCTGTTTCCTAAGTAATTAAAATTTGACCATAATACATAGGTACCTGAACTGCATTAAAAAATCATTGGTCAGTTTTTTATGTTGCTTCCATTTAGCTCTTTTGGGCTTGGATATTTGAGAAAATATAGAAAGTACTGAGTGAGAGGAGGTTTTAAGAAGATAAATAAAAGAAACTAGTCATGAAGTTAATGTAACAGCTTCGGATATAATAAAATTAGTCTTGTTGTGTTTCTAAACTAATTGTTAGTTCTTTGAGGAAGCTGTTCAAAAATCTGTATAAAAGTGTATCAAATGGCTACATGGTTTTCAGAAGCATCACTACTTCTAACTCAAAGCAGACAGTGATAGATTTCCTCTAATAGGACAGTGCAGAGAAGTGTGCTAAGAAGGTCATGATTAGCATCATGCAGACTGCACAGTCTAAATGCAAAACATTTCTTTTTTTAAAGTAGGCTTTTTTCACATGTTCGAGTATTCCCAAGAAATAACTCTGATATTTTAGAAAGCTGTGTTAACTTTTCTCAGAATACTTAAACAGATGGTCATTTTGTTCCATTATTTCAAAAACTACAGTTTGAACTTAGCTTTCAAAACCTTGTTGATAAAATAGGCGTAATCTTTAGTATTTTTAAGGAACAAATGTCAAACTTGTAACTGTCATCTTCGTTCCTTTGCTTCCTTTTTACATTTTGTCTGTCACGAGCATCATGATTTGTGAAGTGATTCTTTTTCTTCTTACTGAGCTTTAACCTAAATTGTCATTTTTTTGTTTGTCATAATATTAAATTGTCTTTATTGTTGCGTCCATTATTTGCTTATTCTTTTCTTTAAAATTTTTGTTTACAGACTTAAATATTAGATTTTCTTTACTAACTTCAGATCATTTGGTATTGATCATGTCCACCTAGATGAGCCACTGAGACAAAAATCAGAGCTTTATGAGACTCAGAAGCAACTTTTTATTAGCACTGATACATGAAGTTTCTTTTTATATGTGTTTACTATTGGATTTCAGTATACAAGCCTCTGCTAATGTGTGAGTAGAATGTTTGAGTGATAAATATTTCCTCTCTACTTCAGCAGAAAGAATAACTCAACCCTTGGACCTAACAACTTTAGCCATCTCCATAGTTAGGGAGTTATTCTTTAGCTCTATAGATAAAATTTTTTAAATATGCTGATAAGAAAATACTGAAAATAGCCACAAATATCCACCAACATAAGTTTCCCTGAAGAGAGCATTTTGAAATTGTTTATTAGTCCTAAAAATGGTTTGAGAGCAGACTGAAACAGGATGTCTTGATTAAGTTGCTGCTTGTCCATACTGTGAAACGCTGAGCATACACAATTTAAAAATCTATTAAATAGGAATTAAAGTTTCCCAAATACATTTCAGTCATATATGTTATGAAAATACTATTCAATAAAGGAATTTTTGTGCCATTTGATGAAGCTGTATATAACTCAAAATATATCAGTTTCAAAAGTTTGGGACCAACTCAAGACCCTATACTTTAAAGCTATGAGCTAAATATATTCTTTTCTTTCTTCATTGGTGAAGCAACTAAAACTTCTTATACTCAGGTAAGTGTGGAGTGTCTGAGTAGTAAGCGTTATAACTGCTTAACCAGATAAGTTGTATTATTAACATAATGTAAATAAAACCATATTTAAATAAAGTAAGACCGGGTGCGGTAGCTGAAGCCTGTAATCCCAGCACTTTGGGAGGCCGAAGTGAGGGAATTGCCTGAGCCCACAGGTTCAAGAACAGCCTGGGCAGCTTGGTGAGACCTCATCTCTACAATAAATCTAAAAATTAGCTGGGTCTGACAGCGTGTGCCTGTATTTCTGGCTACTTGGAAGTCTGAAGCAGAAGGATCATCTGAGCCCAACAGGTCGATGCTGGGGTGGCCTTGAGCATACCACTGCACTCCAACCTGGGCGACAGAGTGAGACTCCAACTCTAAAATCAATCAATCAATCAATAAAATAAGACAAAAGTAACTCTTTGTTTAGTAAAATCACAAATTCAATCATTTTAGGAAATAATACCTGTTTTTTTCATGTGGCAAAAAAAAATTCTTTGAGTTGTGGCCCTCCAAAATAGCGTGAATATTTGACAATTGTAGCTATAGAAAAACATGTTGGCAATTTGACATTCAGTTTGAGGGAATGTGTTGAAGTTTCTGTATTTTTTTCTTCATTTAGTTAAAACTTTAAAGTTTTAGTTATTCTATAAGCCAAAGAACTCAGACCTTTCATTGTAGATATTTTTATCTCATTCGTTTCTTTTTTTCATATCTTTTTCCTGACTTTGATTGTGCCAAACATTGCAGTGGTGACTGAAAATTTTGTTGAGTTATCCAACAGTTTTCAAATATAGCACTACTTTAGTAGGAGTTTGGAAAATATTTATTTATTGGCTTCTAGGTGTTCTCTAAAGTTTTTATTAACAAAAGCAATACTTTGAAGAGAAATCTACTATTGGTATGCATTTTCTTCATTAAATAAACCAGATGCATTATAAACTCTTTCCCACTGTGTGATACATGTGGCAGCAGAAAGGGGCATTCAAACATGCTGATGGTAACAAGTATCAGATCTGTAGTTTAAAATTTCCCACAGGTGATCCACAGAATTCATGAAACTTCATATGCACACTTGAAAGTTTATTGTAGACTTAGCAGAAACAAAGAGATAATCCAAAGCTAAGCACTAAGACCAGAATAACACTTTGTTGGATGAGTCTATTGGTGGTCATCATTGTTATTACAAGTAGCCATAATTAGACAATAAATACCTCATGGAAGACTATAATTGAAGGTTTAATTTTTTCTTAGTACAGTTGTGCTAAAGATACAAAATAGAAAATTCTGTTATAACTCTAAATAAAATTATAAATGCTGAGCAGCATTAAAGCAAAACCTTAAATTGTTTTATATAAACTGCCATAAGAGAATAGTAGAGGCATTAAATATATCCTCAGGAAAGGAAAAGTTAGTTCCCTTGACTATTACAAACATATACAGTTTGTGTCTTCTTCAACTGACCTATACTTTATATATTTACATATATATTTGATATATATGATTTATACAAATATCAGAACTGATTTTTCTCTAATATCTCACTGTTACTGAAAAACTAATTTTTGTGTGTGTGGTTTCTGAGATCTCTCTGGGATACCTTCATGATAATTCTTATGTTTATATGCTGCTTAAGCTGATACTAAACTATGGTTGAAGGGAGGCCACCTGT